TACAATGGCCATCACTACGAGTGCAGAGCCCTTCCATTTGGCCTGGCCTCAGCTCCCCAAACCCTTATAAAGGTTCTGGCAGCATTAGTAGCCCATTTTAGGACTCAGCTGGTCTGGCTACAATGCTGTCTCGATGACATATTAATTTTGTTATCGTCCTGTCGGCAGGTGGAACTAGACACCCAAGTCACCCTACAGCCTTTCCAGTAACACGGATTTTCAATAAATTGGGCCAAGAGTCATTTGACACCCTCAATTTGTCTCATGCATTTGGGAGGCATCATTGATACAGTGGCAGGAAAGGTTTCCTTTTCACTGGATAGGCAGAATAGCATTAGGCAGTTGTCAAAAGAGATTAGGATTCTTAAACGAGTACCCCTGCCCAATTATCCGAATTTCTAGGAAAAATGATCTCCTATATTTCTGTTGTTCCCTGGGCACGGCTCCATGCCAGAACCCTGCAATGATTTCTGCTCCCGTAGCAATGATCAGGAAGGACCAATACCATATCCAAGGTCACTGTTCCATCAAAGGTTCTCATATTGCTTCACTGGTGGACCACAACAAACATCAACAAGGGGGGCTGTCTTTTCAAAGACTCTCACAGACAGACTATCACAACAGACTCAGCTCTATTTGGATGGGGGCACACTGTCAGTCCCTTGTAGCTCAGGGTTGCTGCTCTACGACAGAACAAGCTTGCAGCATAAACTGGCTAGAATTGAGGGCAGCCCATCTGGCCCTCCATAAATTTCTACCACTGATCCAGGGACAGCATATCCTCCACTTGACTGACAACATGTCCACAAAGGCCCACATAAACAGGCAGGGGGACATGCATTCAAGATCACTAATGAGAGAGACAGAGAGACGGTGCCGCTGGGTAGAGAGGAATTTAATCTCCATCAAAACGGAACACATCTCGGGACAGTCCAACATCCAGGCAGACTGGTTGAGCAGGGCCACTGTCGATCATTCCGAGTGGCGCCTGCACCCGAGACTGTTCCAGGAGATATCACATCAATTTAGCCATCCGATCCTGGACTTCTTTGCCTCGCCCCTCAACACACAGTTCCCAAGGTTCTTTTCCGGATTTCCAACACAAGGAATGGAGGTAGTCAACACTCTATGCTGTTGCTGGCCTTGAGGTCTCCTAGGAAGACGGAGGCCCTCTTCATCTCCTTTCAACCTTTTACCCAAGGAAGAAAAGTCCCCTCATCATCTGTTGGCAGGTGGCTGTAAACCACGATTGCAAAGACTTATGAAACACAGTCATTGCCCTTGCCTACAGGCATTACAGCACACTCAACTAGGAGTGCTGCAACTTCGGCAGCTTGGGTTACTCAAGCATCAGTCGACAAGATCTGTAGGGCGGCAACATGGCCTTCTCCATTCGCCTTTCATAAGGCACTATAAACTGGATGTTTTTGCTTCTGCTGAAGCAGCATTCGGCAAATGGATATTACAACTGGTCCACACATAAAAAGGGGACTCCAAACCAGACGGAGACCCTCCTGTTGGACACACCAGTTTTGGTGTGTCCCATGCCTGGATGCTCTGAACAGCTCATCTGGAGAAGGGATGTTGGTACTTACCTGATACACCATTCTCTGTGAGCTGTGAAGAGCATCCAGCCCCATTCCTCCCATGCCTGGATGCTCTTCACAGCTCACAGAGAATGGGCGTATCAGGTAAGTACCAACACCCCTTTAACATGGAGTGGTTGCCCATTGACATAGGCTATAGGGAACATATGATGAGCACCAAAGGGATTAAGTTTGTTTGGCATCTTTTCTTCAATGGGAGGACATATGTTGAACTGCTTTATAGAATAAATTTGGTACATTAAATCTTTTGCATGGTCATGTGCTGTGGATTTTCTCATATAGATTTTAATGTATTGTATTGCCCATCTCTGTCCTAACAAAGAAGCATTTTTGCAATCCTGTAGATTTTTGTATCAATGTTTTATTAATGTTTTTTTCTTTTTGCCATAGAACTTCATGCAACAAAGCCGTTTCTATTGGTATTTTTTCAACTTTTCCATCCTACCTACATTCCTCTATTTCAGTGATATTCAGAGGCTCTCTGAGTCTTTATTTCTGATGTTCATATGTGCACAAATATATTCTTAATCTTCCTTCAGATATTTTGTTTTTGTTTTTATGTCAACTCCATCTTCTTGCCTTCACATCTCTTATTTGCTGCTACCTTTCCTAATAGCAATAGCACTTAAACTTATATACTATTTTATAGTGCTTTACAGACCTCTGTAAGCAGTTTACAGAGTCAGCATATTGCCCCCAGCAATTCAGGTCCTCATTTTACCCACCTTGGAAGGATGGAAGGCTGAGCTTCCATCTTGAGCTTGGTGAGATTTGAACTGCCAAATTGCAGGCAGCTGGTAGTCAGCAGAAGTAGTCTGCAGTACTGAACTCTAATCACTGCACCACCGTGGCTCACTAATCATGCACTAGCAAAGACAGCATGGTTCTTATATTCTTCTCTATCAGTGTGTCCTAGTGGAAGACAGCAGCAGGTGCCTGGAACATTTTGGGGCAGGGTTTATTATTATTTGAAAATACTTTTTTGTGTCACGGTATAAAACACAATCCTTTTGTATTTTGGCTGTATAAGAAATGTATGCTTTTAAGATTTGGTACAATTCTTTTTAAAATTGTAAAAATCCTGAATAGAACCAGTATTTTCTATACATTAAAACTATAATTGTTCATTTTGCTATTTCATGGTGCCACAATCCAGTTTGTAATCACAGAAGAAATATTCCAAACTTTTGTAGTTGATGTAGCTAAATGAGATGATATGGAATTCTTAACAATGTACTGCACTTTGAAAACAGAACTGGTGAATTCCAAGCACTATAATGACTATAAGTTTGTTATTCAAAATATCCAGTTGACCAATTGATTTTCTCTGCTTTTGATTCCTCACTTCTCTCAGTTTCTTAGATCAATTTTGATTTCAGCATTTATATAAATCTGAATTATTCAGCATGGTGCCACTTAATCAAATCTTTCTTAACAGTTACATGATATTATTGGATGAAGTGAATAAAATTTTTAAATATGCTTTAGCCCTTTCTGTTACCTAGATTTAAAAAGTTCTTGAATTGATATAGGAAACTGATTAACTAAATTCCACTACAATTAATTGAAAAGAAACCATTGATTGTTGGATAGTTGACTTAACAAGTGGTTAGACTGCAGTTGCTGCTACATCCAAAATTGCATCAAAACCCCATTTATGACTAGGGGTGCATTTCCAATTTTAATACGTTCTAGGATAGTAATCCAGATTACTATTCTTGTGAGGTTGATGACTATTTTTTTCAGACATTTTCAGAAACTAGCTCATGTAAGTGAAAGTATGAAAATTGACTGGCAATATTTATCTAATATCTTGTTTCTAAAGGTTGCAGATTTTTTTTTAACAACAACTTTTTGAATTGATTTAACTGAGAGTGACTGGCTCAAAATCATATAGTGAGCTTCTGTGGATGAATAAATAACAGGAAAGCTTGGCTTTGCACCTAATCACTGTTTGGGATATGTGTCCATTTTTACAAATCTTTGCAGTGAGTCCTGATATGGGGAGACTATTTTGATTGCTCTTTCTCTTGAGCTTAAGAACTAGGTATGAAATATGGTTCAACTGATCTGACAGAGAGGTTCCCACAAGATATCCAACCGAATTAACCCTATGTAACTGTAGTTATACTTCCTCTCCCAATAGATACTTGCCTAGGTCAACTGAGCTTTCCTTGATGTGTCCAATAAAGAGGCCAATGTAAATTTTGGCTCTGCTAGTTCTATTCATATCTTCACATTTTTATTCACAAATGTCTGTGAAAAAAATACACATAAGTTTATTAATCTATTCCATCAGACATTTTGTTGGAAGGTTTGATGTGTCTTCCACATCCCACACTTTCTTCATTTCTTCTTATACAAATTGATTATTGTGAAATACTTTGCAACAACTATAGTAACTGTTTTTTTGCAGCAAAAGAGTATTCCAAGTGTATACTATTAATTTGAGAACTCCTTCTAAGCTTTGTATATTGAAGCTATATGTAGCATTATCTATGTCTATTCCTGTAAGATAATTTGTTTGCAGCTTTGGGGCTGATACACAAAATATTTCAGTATTATTTAATAATATTATTTATGGATCACTGCTATTATAATTGGTAGATGTGGTCGTTGATGAACAATTAAATATGGGAGACAGACATCAGAATTTGGACAGTCACCCAAAGAAAAGAAATAGATGTAATTATTGCACATTTTGACTTCTTTAGAATTATTGACTGAATACATTAACAGAAATGAAATAGTAAATATATGTTTGCTGATTTAATCATAATGAAATAATTGTATGTTTGTAAACTATAAATGTTCAGAAAAACAGTTTGTAAGAAAGGAGAAGTATAACAATGTAAAATTGTTTATAACCTGATGATCAGGCATGCAATCTTAAATTTCTTGTAATTATGCTTTATTTGAACAATGAGCTTTTGGTTAGTTTCCTTGCATCATTTGCATTTTGCATAGTTGCCTGATATAGAAAATTGGTTTTCATATACAATCTCTTTTACAGCCTGCTGACATGATTAGTTTGAATCAATAAACTGTGCACTTCAGGATCAGGAATATACTAAGTTTGTAGTTATGTTTTGTGTTCCCTTTATATTTCAGTTTCTGTTGTTGCGTTTAAAACTTTTTGCTTCATCACTTCAGATTCATTTAATTCCAAAGAAATCCCACCATCAATATATTATATTTTTTCTGAATATTTTCTTGAACAGTTTACAGAAGGGCAAAGTTTTGCTTTAGAATAGTCACCAATCCTTTTTCCCCATAAAGCTTGTTATAACTGTTTTATTGTTTTACATAAATTGCTTAGGGGCATGATGTTTTTTTAGCTGCAGTTTCTGTAATAGTTTAGTTCATATTTGTTTTTCTTCTTTCTTTTAACAGGCATCTATAGCAGTAATGAAGTAGCAGTATCTTTTCCAAATGTAGTCTCTGGCTCAGGATCTAGCACTCCTGTTTCCAGTTCACATTTACCTCAACCATCTTCTAGTCTTGTGCAGCAAGTGGGAACTTTGTCTTCTACATCTTCTGTAGCTACAGCTGTTGCTGCAACTCAAGTAGGTTGTTAGAAGTATTTGATGATCAATATTGGTGTGGTAAATGGGACATACTGGCATTTTGTATATGCTTTTTCAGACAAATGTATCTAAAGAAAGAATGAACCGTACATGTATATTTCATTTCTTTTAGTGTGTTATAAAGAAGACTAGGCTAACTTCTAATTGTTTCACTTCTGATTCGTTTCACAAAAGGATTTAATGTTCAGAATTTGCACACTATAAAATTAGATATTTTTCAAAAATTGACTTTTTCTGTTTTGGTATTCATTCTTCTGCTAGCTTTATCTTCTGACAGGATCCATTCATTATATTAAACTAATTTTGTTTGCTTGATTGTGACTTAACATGGTATGTTAGTCCAGTCAATTATGAGTCTGTATACTTTGGTTAAACAGTGTTTACATTATATTTGTAAACCCAGCTAATGAATATACTTGAAAAACTTCACTGAATTGTAGTTAGTAATTACTATTAATTACTTAGAGTCTTACTTTGGCATATCTAATGTGCATAATAATTTGATGAATGTATCTTTAAATTTGTAAGCAGATTTGAAATCCAGTGAAGTTGCTATGATTTTTTTTAATGTAATCACTTGTTGAATAACATATTACAGTCTTAGCAGAAATGCTGTAATGAGATATAAAAACTAGTATATTAATCATAACCATAGCAGTATAAAGGTAAACACACACACATATATAAATACATGAGGTAGTAGCAAACTATTTATTTCTTTATTTTAAACTATTTTGTTACATGAACATTTTTACTTACATAAATTATTCATGGTCTCTTTCCAAAAATAATGAAGACAACTCATGCTTAATTATAATACGTAGTTCTTTAATTATTCACCTATAGAGCATAGATCTAATAAAGCTAAATTGCATCTTAGTTTTATTTTAGGAAAATTCCTTACTACATTAACCTTTTATCCACTAAATTAGGTGAAAAAGCTTCTGATCTTCTGTCATCATAACTATTCCAACAGTCATTTTTATACATCAGGAATTCCCAAAAGGCAAAATTCTTTGTTTTAAAGATTAAATATCCTATTAGATTATTAGAACTAAAAGAAACTTTTGAACTTCAACATTTAAGTGAAATGCTATACTTAATGGTTCAAAAATAAGTCCCATTGATTGCAGTAGAGTCTCTGGTAAGTCTGCATAGGATTAAAGTCTGTTAATCCTTTAAGAATCCTTCATAAATTCCAGCTTTACAGGTGAGATACATTGAAGTATTTACTGAAGCTTTCATTTAATGCCAGTAGTAAATAGTGTCATCGTTAAAACAAAACTCTGCAATAATTTATTTTTAAGTAAAAATATAATTTCTTCAGGCATATAGTTTTCTTTCTTAAGAAACAGAAATGAGAGTACATGAGAAAATATTTTAACTAATTTTTCAATTATATAGGTAGTCTTCAACTTACAACACTTCATTTAGTGACCGTTCAAAGTTACAACAGCAGTGAAAAAGTGTCATGACTATTTTTCACACTTATACCAATTGTCATGTGGTCAAAATTCAGACACTTGGCCACTAACTCATATTTATAATGGTTGCAGTATCCTGGGGTCATATGATCCCCTTTTGCAACTTTCTTAGCGAAGTCAATGGGGAACCCAGATTCAATTTAACAACTGCAGTGATTCACTTAACTGTGGCAAGAAAGGTGGGGCAAAATTCATTTAGCAAATGTCTTGCTTAGACATTTGGGCTCAATTGTAGTCATGTCGAGGACTACCTGTATATGTGATTATATAATAGTGCTTTCAATTGTATGTTTCTACTTTTGAATTCTCTCTAGTATTCTCTATATGCACACGTACATTTAATTGTACACATACTGTAATTGTTTTGAATATCTGTTGGAATTTAGTTAGATGATGTCATATATCAATAGCTTGTATTTTTATTACTTATGTGCTAACATTGGATAAATACATTTTTAGAAAGGCATTAGTATTTTTAACCTCATTATTCCAAAGAAAGAGAATAGGTGGCACATGTTGAATAATAATTGCTCATTATTTGTTCCTTAATGCTTCTGAAAAAGTGATGTTAGATTTTTGACAAGTTGTTTGTGTAATGCTACTGGTGTAATCTGTTGTACATTTACTTGAAAATAAACTCCATAGAAAAGCAAAACAGGATTGCACTGTAAGTAATTAATGTTAACATATTAGCAGGCTTACTGCTATAGTTTAGTTTTACAATTAATATCTTAAAATATTTAGTTTATTTTCCACTTCTAGCTCCTTTCCACACATTTATTCCTAAAATGAGTGTTACATCCCATTTTATATAAGCTCATACTGTGTGGTTTTGCCTTCTCTTTTATCTTCAGTGCCACTTTTTAATTCTTAAAATATATTTCATTTGTTGCATATTAGATGGCTTTCCTTTCTTTTTTGAAAAAGAGAAAGCTGATGTTTGTTGTCTAAACTATATTGTGCTGTTTATAAACTGTGATTTATTTTTATATTTTCCATATTTAAGCTATGTCTTCCACACATTCTTTTAGTTCTTGGAGTTCCCGATTCTTCCTAAGGTGAAAAGGAAAAGTTCAAAGAAACAAGTTGCTTGCATTAAATTATTTAATTATAATCTGTATAATTTGTATATAGAAGCAATTTGCAGGTGTTTGACTCTAGACACGTTCTTTTCCAAGACATGCTGTTTCATTTTCCCTTCCCCAATAATAAATCAACACTCCATGGTTACTGAACATTGTTATACTTCACGGAACTATTTTGGGATATTTTCTAAAAGCCTTTTTTGATATTTCTGGAAACCTCAGTATTTCTTGAGTATGGTAATATTTTTGTACTCTGCTGGGATGTTTGGCTATAAGAACCAGCAAATGGAAGAAGGTTGCTGCTGAAAGATGTGAGTGTAGAGTCATAATTATCTAATATTTTTAATTTATTTATTTTTAAGTAAATACCTGTAAAATCTGTTCAGGTCTGTTTATATTATGTGAAACTATCATCCATCTGAGGCATACAGTTTTTTTTTATTTCCATAATTATGAATCAGTGTTATCCTGTTTTTCTTTTTTTTAACCTATTTATATAGCAATTTCTTTTTTTCTCTTTCTTGAGTTTTTTTCTTTGGAATTCAAATTATGTGAATTCTTGCCTTCCTGTTTTGTTTTGTTTTAAAATAGCAATAGCATGTAGACTTACATACTGCTTCACAGTGCTTTACAGCCATCTCTAAGCAGTTTACAAAGTCAGTATATTGCCCCCAACAATCTCATTTTACCAACTACGGAAGGATGAAAGGCTGAGTCAACCTTGAGCTGATGAGGATTGAATTCCTAACAGTGAGGTGAATTAGCCTAAAATACTGCATTGTAACCACTGCACCGCCATGCTCCGCCAATTAATACTAATTGTTTTTTAGCAGAGCCCCTTTTTCCATCAGAATAAATCCAGATTTTTTTAAATTAAAATATGAGCTTCAATGTGAATTATGTAAGACCATTTATTTAAAAGTAGGTTGGGAAATGATCATATCTCATCCATAATTTCGGATCCAGGCATAGTCCCAAATAAAGTATATATTCCAGGAATTACATTATTAACATTACCAGAGAAGAAATTGTAATTCGTAGTCATGGATTATCATGAGCTTTATTATCCTGGAAATACAGCAATAAGCTAGTAAATCCAAATTTATCAGAAAGGCTAGAATGTCTTAACTATTTGCCTAGCTGTAAAGGCATGGGGATCTGCTTCTCAGTAGATAATTAAAATTGTGCAATGGGAAAGTTTTTCTTTGGAGAACAATATTCACAGATTAACCACAGTGGACATTTACAATATTTGGACAACAATTCTGTTTTTCATAATTTAACTATGAGAGCATAGAGCATTGTGGGAGAATTGTTATGATCTGAACTTTGTCCTGATTTTCTGTTTTTGAAAAGTATTGCATTTGTAACGTTCCAGAGTGACCCCTGCTGGCAGATAGTATTAAAACAGTGATATCTAATCAATTTTTCCTGTTTCTGTTATCACAAGGATTCCTAAATGATCACATATATACTGATATCAACTAAAATGCTTTTGCTAGCTTACATTTATATTTCTGTGAAAGCTTACCCAACAAATAGTAAAATGTTTCTATGATCACATTTCATAATATCTAACTTGAATATCTGTTACTAGATAAAATTAAGCAAAATCATCTTTTTGAGATCATCATTTTGACTATAGATTCTTGGGTAAAGAGTAGAATTAATAACCCAAAGGGACATTTCAAACAAACTTGAGATTCCACTATAAGAATAAAAGAATCATAGCAACTTCTGATAATGATCCTTGGTTCAGTTAAAACATTTACTGCTCAGTAATCTGATTTCAGTAACATATGACTCCTTATAAATATAATTCAGTAAGGCTGTTAAAGAGCTGTGTAATCTTTTGCACACCACTGCATGCTGAGACAGCTGCATCAGGGCTTCAGTCCGGCAGTAAATGGTTTCTGCCTTCAAGCTGAAGCTTATTTAGTCGGGCTTATCTGATGCTGCTGTAGCAACCATCAGTCTCCAGGCAACTGAGGCACATTGACCTCTCTGATGAACTGAGAGAAGCACCACTTCAATTTAGCTTCCTAAGACAATTACTGGTGGTGAATTTATATATATGTTCATAAATCCACGTGTAGGTACACACATAGAGTTCATAACACAATATGCAATATCCCTCTGAAAGGATGCTAAGGTAATAAATGTAGGAACACTTTAAGCAAGCTAGTACAAAATATTTTATAGGATAAAAGTCTGTTTAATCTTTTAAATAATAGGCAATTATATTCATATTTCATATTTTTTCAGGTTTTTTAAAAAACAATTTTAAAAGGTTCTGTTTTAAAAGTTGCCTGGTAAAATTATGACATGTTCAAGACCAGGTAATAAAGCAATAACCGTGCTGAGATTTAGAGTTCTTCCATATAATTAAAAATTAAACTATTTGTCCTTA